AGTTGAACAGTCAGACAAAGTCGTGTGAGTAGCTACAAGCACATCAAAACTCAGATAGATAGTTTGCCTCGGACACGTCGATGTAGTCCTCCTCCTTCTTCTCCAGTAGGACTTTCAGGTCTGGTTTCTCGTGGCGGTACTTCTTGCCTGGGTGTGAGATCTGGAAGGTGGTGGCTGCAGCTCGCATGCGCATAAACCTGAAACGCTGATGAGATGTGATGTGACACAAAAATTTTGATCTAGAGTGAGACTCTAGATCAGACATTGTGACATGAAACAATCTGGCATTGGGCTCAAAACTAAATGATTCAAAGCCATAGTCTTAGCCCATCACTTGTCTTCAAAGGCAGGGCAACTGGCAAGATTCGAAAGGAGTTCTGAGACGCTCATGTTGTCACAGCTTCCACGCTTGCAATAGAAGCACCGCCGGCACAATGACGTATTGTCCTTCGCCAGCATGACAACAGGTTCTGAGTGCCCTTCTGGGTTGTCCTGCCAACGCAGGGAACAAAAGAAGTTTTTGCTTCTCACAATCTGAGTGACGTGGCAGGTTTGAGGGAGAGAAAACTTGAGTTCAAAAATTACATAATAGTCATATACAAAACAGTCAAACAGTCCTTGTCCACATCTCCAGCTTTCTGCTTGCACGCTAGGCAAACAGACCCACTATCGCCATGACCGTGACTTTCACTCATGGCTGGCACAAAAGCAGCTAACCTACAAATTGGCAGTGGCTACAATGCCTCGGTCCAAACCTAACAACAAAACAAGACTAAACTCGACTCATAACTGAACCGAGCTCCAATGTGAAACAAGCACGTGGAGGCAGGATGCACATCTTGCCTTTCATCAGCACAGGGGTTGCATGATGCCAAGTCCAAGCATCAGATCTAATGCTAAGGCTAAGGCTTCAGAAAGCGTTCCGTAGCCTTCTAGCAAAAAGGTTCAGTGGCAGCCGGGCAGCTAGAAAAACAAACAGCAAGCGGTAATTACGCAGCAATGTAATACACTGTAATTGTTGTTTGCGACTGTACCCGGTTACACAACTATAAAACCGACTCTAACAGCATCAACTTGCCTCAGAGCCCCTCGAGCTTTGCTGACCCAAAATAAGGGTTTTGGCATTGTCAACAAAGATTTCAGAACCGGAGTCAGGGTCATCCGAACTAGTGTCTGCCTGCACCTTGGCCAGGCGCTCTGGGGTTGGGGCTGTCAAAACTGGGTGTCCAGAGGCTGTAGGAAGGGCATAGCACATCAAAGAAAAGATAGCGGCACTCAGCACACTCACAGTCATAGCATTTCCTGACAGGGCAGCACCAATACAGGAGATAGTCAGTGATAGTCCCGTCTAGAGTCCAGGCAGAATACCTGGTTTGGTCTCCGTGCTGCAGTCTGCAAAAAAACATACAAAAACAGTCTTTTGTAGACAACAAGTGACATCAAAAACACGGATCACCGGTTTGATAACCAATCATTTGCCTGCCATGCGGTTTGCAAACGAATAGTTGGCCATCTTGTCGGAAAACTTGAAGCGCTTAGGATGGAAACCCTGAATCGCAAGGAGCTCCTGGTTGCTACACACCCAGTGAGGCAATGCTACTGTGAGCACAACCCGCAAACAAAGCTAGAAAACGACCACACACCAGTACACACAAGTCACAAGTCCTCCCCGCGTAGCAGCCGATCAGAGGCAAAGTCCCAGAGCTTGTTCTGAGTGGTGATTGCTGAGCACTTTGAGAATCTTGAGAGGGATGCTCGGCCCAAGCTTCCTCACAAGTTTTAACGTGCTGAAACACACTGACTGGCTGTTCAAACATGCTGACTGGCTGTTCTTCACATGACACTGACACCAGCTGCAAATAGAACTACAGACTCCAAAATCACAAGAGTCTGAGTCCAAGCTCAAAACAAATAAAACACGTGTCACATATCATTTGCTCAGAACAACATGTTTTATGACCAAGTTTATGACCAAGCCCAGCGCGCGCCAAGTCAACCAAGTAGAACTGGCCCTTGGGGTCCCCTTTCCTCTCCTCAGCACAACAACAAATGAGTTTTCATGTGCGGGAGACAAACCTGCACCTTGGTATCCTATAGGGCCTTTTGACCTTGTTGGTATCACATGAAAGGACTTCTAAGTCGATGGATGATGGAACCAATCAGACAACATCATAGCATCATAATTACAGTAGCTAGCGCAATATCATATCTTTAGACGATCCAATTATTCCTTGATGAACTTCATTATCTTATGAATCTTTACTATCTTTACCCATATATAATATATATTTGTAACAGTCCGCGACGGTCCAGACGGTTTCCGACTATATGCCATACAACAGTCCGGGACGGTCTGAACGGTTTGCGACTATTTTATAAATGTCCTCATGAGCCCTCATGCCCCAAACGGTTTCGAACGGTTCCAGACTGTTCCCAAACTATTAGTGATTTTTACCTGAAAGAGTCCGGAACGGTTTGGACGGTTTCAAACGATTTAGGTATGAGTGGTTGAATGTACCAAACTGCTTGAGTGATGCATGACATGATTTCTACTTTAAACCGTTTCACTGACCTACTAAACATCGCAAAAGTTCTTTACAAGTTAAGTTAGATGATGTTAGATGTGGTCAGATTGAGTCTAGTCACCCCATGTGACTCCACAGGTCTAGGGCGCTTCATTGAAAGCAAAACACTTGGTGGCAAGTGTCCTTAATGTAGGCCCACATTATGTCCAGAATCGCTGTCTCACGTTCTGTCAACGGAAGAGATTCCCGTACATCCCTTGAAAGACTCAAGGTGTAGGGATGCTGTGAGCCTCAAAGTGGAAATAAACACATTTGACTACACAGAACAACCCAGCCTCGAACCCCGAACACACAAGGTCACAAGGCTTTACAGTAAATGACATTGCAAAAAATTGGCTGGCCTGGGTCTTTCATCCCCAACATCCATTGCCAGTCCTTGATTTCTTTCTTGGACTTCTCGGAGAGTTTGACCTTCTTTCTTGAGGAAGGCTCCTGGAAAATAGTGGTGGGGGACCCTGGGCCCTGGGCTGCTGCTGGAGCATCCCCACACATGCTTTTGCATAGGGCGAATGGTCTACAAACCGTTCCAAACCGTTCCAAACCGTCTGGGGTCCCTTCAAAAATGCCGCCAATGTCTCCAGGAAATGTGACCTACGCAGCCCGCCCAATGGGTCCTTCTGTAATGGTGCCAAGCATGGTGCGTCATCCAGCAAAGAAACAAAGTGAAGCACATCAGCAACGCTTGCCTGTTGATGGTATGTGGGGAGGTGGTGGACAAAGAAATTGACCATACACTTAAAGGAGGCATCGCTGATGAGGTCGGCTCGAACACCAAGAATGTAGAGCCTGGCACGGCATTGTGGGCTCCCATAGTCTCGGCTCCTTGGTTGTAAGCAAATATATCGCATTATATAGCCATAGTACGCCCTGGGTCCGGGATTTCAAAAGAAGTAAGTAGAACAAGCACACACAAGACACACATAACATGAATCCCGGATGTTTGGACAGGGATGAAGAAGGTTCAATTTGTTACACATGAAAAGGGTCACGGTCACAATGTTTAATAGAGAGTGGCGACCCGTTTTGTCGTGTCACCGTGCCCCGTGACACGTGTTGTTTGCCTTTTTGCCCTTTAGTTTGTCAATCCTCTTACATCTTTGGCAACGCCTCTCTCTCTCTCTCTCTATCTATCTATCTATCTATCTATCTCTATCTCTCTCTCTCTCTCTCCCTCTCTCTCCAACTAAACTAGAAACATGTCAATGACAATGCGCCGCTAAAGTTCCGTACAACCCGGTGCTCGATGTGGTACTCAGTCTCAATCTGCTTGAGGCCAAAGGGCTTGCCATAGTTCTCATCATTCTCATCATCAATTTTTCCATGGTACATGAAGTCGAGAGGGGTCTGGCACAGTGAGGAGAGAAACGCGGTGCATCTGGGTCTACGTAACAAAAACGGACAATACTATACTGGTAATTTTCCACTTTAGGTTCACTTTTAACAAGTGTCCTGGGGACCCGTTTTTTAAATCAAAATAAGGGTCTCCAGGCCACTTGTCAAAATCTAAGAAATTCACCCAGATCTAAAACTGAAACCACGCGGAAAATTGCCATACTATACCGTATTTACCCACAAAACTCATCTAGAACGATTGGATCTGGACTCCCCAACAACCTGGTGAGAGATGCCCACAACTCAATACCAATTCTTTTCACGAACAGGAGCCAGCAGACCCAAAAGGTTAATGTTTGGAGGTGTCCGTTTGTAGCCCTAGGAGCTCCTAAACCGGATAAAAATGGACACCTCCAAAAATTGCCTGTTAGGGTCTGTTTGTTGGTCTTTCTTGCCCACTACCATCGATACTCCGAATCCAAACTCAATAATCAGAACTCAGACTCAGAACCCATGAGTCCAACCATCCCATTCCCCAATTCCCATGTCCCAAACTGAACTCGCAGAGTTTGCCTGCTGCTTGCCTACAGTCTTTGGAGTTCAGACACCAACCTAGTGACGTGGTCTTTGACCTTGCCGCTGGGATCAGCTTGAGCACTACTGCTGCTAGCGCTGTTGGAATGGCCCAGCTTCAAAGAAATGGCCATCATGGTTTCCACTGCCTGCCCCTTACGGGCCATGTCAACTCGGACAAAAGGAACCACACACTCAGAATGAACATACCGGCTTGGCCGACGAATGTTCCAGAAATATACAAATCTGACAGAACCAGCAAGAATCTTCTGCTGGCAATGGTAGCAAACACTCCTGCCTGTGGGGGCTATTGCGCTGGCAAAGTCCTGTGCAAACCCAAGTTCTTTCACAAACGTAGTACCTCCTGTGGTGTACTTCTTGGCTGCCTCAGCCCGATGCTCAAAATCAATGCGCAACTCTTTGGCCAACTCCACGACCTCGTTTTCTTCTGTTTGCGCAGCCGCTGTGGGCAATTCCACAACTTCATTCTCTTTGTCTCCATCATTTTCAAACTCTGACTCTGACCCAACGCTGGAGGCATTGGGGCAAGAAGATGAGAAGCTTGCTGAAGACTCGGAATCTGATGACAAGGATGATCTGGATCTCTTCCCAGGTTTGGCAGCACGCCGCTGTCCTTTCCCTTTCCCTTTACCTTTCCCACCCTTTCGATTCCTTGCCCTAGGTTTTCTTTCTTTGGGCTTTGGCTTCAGGCCAAAAGGCAACTGTACATCACGCTTTGCCTTTCTTTGGTCTGAGCTGTTGCCCTTGCCCAAATGAATTTTGAACTCATTGGAAACTTCACTGGCCACCACTTCCAACCGCTGGGCACTCCATAGATTGCGGTGAAAGCTGTGCGTAAACACTTTGACAGCAAAATAAGTCGTTGCTGGACCCATCTGAACAATCAGCTCACGAAATACTTGGAAAGAGGTAAAAAATCTTGGCAAACTCTCACCTGAGGGCGTTAAG